CAGTGGCTTATGCCTATAATCCCAGCACTTTGGGAGGCCAAGGCGGGTGGATCATGAGGTCAAGAGATTGAGACCATCCTGGTCAACATGGTGAAACCCCATCTCTACTAAAAATACAAAAATTAACTGGGCATGGTGGCTCATTCCTGTAGTCCAGCACTTTGGGAGGTGGGCAGATCACCTGAGGTCAGCAGTTCGAGACCAGCCTGGCCAACATGGTGAAATCCCGCCTCTGCTAAAAATACAAAAATTAGCCAGGTGTGCTAATGTGTGCCTGTCATCCCAGCTACTCAGGAGGCCAAGGCAGGAGAATCTCTTGAACCCAGGAGGCAGAGGTTGCAGTGAGCCGAGATCGTGCCACTGCACTCCAGCCTGGGTGGCAGAATGAGATCCATCTCAAAAAAACAACAAAAAAAAGGAGGCCAGAGGGATGGCAGAGGACTGTCCTCAGACCACATTCTTTCCAAAGGCAGTGTGTGTGGACAGGGAAAGGCTTGGAGGCCTGACCCGGGGCAAGGCTCTGTACACAGCTGGGGCTGGGGCTCAGGACATGAGAGCTGATGAGGAGGCGGTCACAGTCACACTCTGTGTGGCTTCTGGCGGTCCCTGCAGTGAGACGTTGTCTCAGATTCCCTGAGCATCTGTCCATACCAAGCACGTGCTGGGCATGTGGAGGTGACACACAGCTTTTGCCTTCTGGAAGCCACAGCCTTGCTGGGGACAGACCCACAGTGCCACATGTGCCATGATGGAAACAGAGACTGCGCTGCAGGAAGAGGGATCAGTCTTGGAGGAGTTGCAGGGCAGCGGTATTTCAGGTGGAAAGGGGGACCTCAGCGCTTGGGTCTGAATGCCATGAAGACCTTGGACTTGGTGCAAATGGCCAGAGACAAGAGCTCGATCTGAAATGTATCTTTTCCAAGCCACAGAGACATTGCGAGCTGATACCACAGCCATGGTTGCCAGGAGGAGTCTGTCAGTGTTTTGAGCATGTTTATGGAGCACTTGCTCTTGTAGAGCAATGCGACAGGTTCTGGGGACACAGAGACCAGTGAGTCACAGTCTCTGCCCTCGAGGAGCCCCAGAGAGCAGAGGGAGAGGAATTCAGGCCAGCAGGGGCAGGGGCAGTCGGGCTGCCTATGGAAAGGCCTGTCCTGTGTGTTGAAGGACAGGTACTCCTCTCTGTGAAAGAAGAGTAGGGAGCTGTGCGGCAGAGGGCATGGGGTAGGAGGCGGAGGGAAGAGTTGGATGGGACGGCACACACGGCCCTGCCGTCCCCCATCCTGGGTTGCTGCTTGGTGCCTTGAGGCTGGTTCCTGGCTCATGGGATGGGTCTGGGTCCGTGGTGGGAGGTGAGCTTGCCTGTGCCCGCGCAGTGGGGTCCCAGAGGTGAGTTTCGCTGCCGTTCCTGCCACAGGAAGAGTTCCCCCCATCCTCCTGGGTACCCTCTGACCACTCCCTTCTCTGATGGGCCTGACTCCTTCACTTCCTCCCTGGGCCTGCACCCTTGCTACAGGGTCCGTCCCCATTGGGTGTGGCTATACCGAAGCCTTTATTAATACCCCGACCAATACCAGTGTCTGAGTCAGCCTGGGCTGCCATCACAAAAGCCACAGACTGGGCAGCTTCCACCACAGACATTGGTTTTCTTATGGTCCTAGAGGCTGGAAGTCCGAGGTCAGACATGCTGGCTTCTCCTGAGGACTCTGTGCCTGGCTTGTAGATGGCCACCTTCTTCCTGTGTTGTCCCATGGCCTTTCCTGCTACATGCATGAGGGAAGAGCAAGGCTCCAACTCTCTGCTGTCCCTTCTTTGGGTGTGTGTGTGTGTGTGTGTGTGTGTGCGCGCGCGTGCATGCGTGCATGCAACATGGCTGTTCACCTGGGTGTAGGTGGGCTGAAGCTGAAAAGGGCGTCAGCCTCTGCTGTCCCTTCTAATACAGCCTTGAGTCCCGCTGGATCAGGGCCCCACCCTTAGTGCCTCACAGGTACTCTTGTCAACAGGCCAGGACTTGCCATGTTAATTCCAGCACCAGCATCCTATCTCTGTGAAACAGAATTCTCCCAAGGACCGCGTCCGAGTCCCGGTGGTCTAGACGGTGTCTGCGTGTGGCTTCCGGGCAGGTTCCCGCTGCAGCATGGCTGTGCCCGCTTAGTGGACCCAGCAGGGGAGGGAGCCGTGGCCCCGGCGTGGGCGATGCAGGGCGTCAGGTGCTTCGTGCTCTGCCTCACTCTATCCTGGGGCTTCCATGGCTTGCTCTGTACCAGCGTTTCCTCATCTGTAAAATGGAGACCCTCACAGGGTTTTAATGGGGTTAAGAATGAATTAAATTGAGTAATTCATGCGTCTTGGGCCAAGGCCAGAAGCAGTGAATGCCGGCTGCTCCAGCGGTCATCATGGTCGTCCTGCTACCGCAGCCTTTCCTACCTCATGTGCTGGCATTTCTTCCCCAGCCTGGTTTCTTCCTCTGAGTCCCATTTCATTCCCATCTGCTGCTTGGGGACCTGTCCAACCACATGTCAAACTCCAGCTTGTCCCAGGCAGAGCTTGCCGCCTCTCCTCCGTCCCCATCCCTCCAGCCCCGAGGCTGCCTGGCTTAGTGCACTTCCCTCCCCCAACCCAGCCACCCACCGGGAAAGCTGGTGTCGCCAGGCCTGCGCTGTTGCCTTGTACCCTGTCCAGTCGGTCCTCCCCATCCTCCTCTCCCCGCCGCTTGGCGTCACCCTCTCCCTCCCATGTTCCCACTGGCTCCTCCCCTGGAGGCTTATTTGGTGACTCCCTGGGTGTCGCAGTCCGAGTTGGAGGAATCTCAGTCCACTCCCGTGCTAGGGGCTGAGTGGGCAGGATCTAGGGCTGTTCTTGGCACAGGGTGAAGTGCAGACGTGACCCTTGGTGACTGGTCCTGGCCCTTTCTGTTCAGTGTCTGTCCACCCTCCCTCTTCCCTGACTCAGTGCCCCAAGCATGAAGGGCTGTGAGCCCTCCTCGCCTGATACCCAATGCCCTCCGTCACTGGCCACACAGCCACCTCCTCTTCTCCTTAGCCCTTGTGTGAATACTGTGTCTGTGTCCCAGTGAAGGGACAGAATCCTCCCCAGAGGAGCCAGCGCTACCTTTTTGTCCTCCCTTAGCACTCCAAGTGGTTGTCCCCAGGTCCCCAGCTCTCTGCAGTGTGTCTGCCTAGGGGTCTCCCTGTGCACTGTGGCCCCTGGCCCTTGGGCAGGGGGTGGCATCTGGTGTGTGTCCTCAGCAGGGTGACGGGTGTGGAGTGAGCATGACAGTCCCCTTTGGTGTACCAAGGTAGACCTGGAAGTGCAGGTGCACGGGGAGCCTGGTCTGGGACATCCACCATAGGAAGGGCCGTCTGCCAGGGATGCAGGAATTCCAGGGGCCGCTTCGGTGCTGCCGCTTCCATGGAATTTCCTGCTCTCCCACAGACCCTGCGTATTAAAAGAGGTCAGGTCCTGGGGTGGCTGGCCGAGGTAGCTCTCTCTTTTTTTGAGACAGAGCCTTGCTCTGTGACCCAGGCTGGAGTACAGTGGCGTGATCTTGGCTCACTGCAACCTCTGCCTCCTGGGTTCAAGCAATTCTCTGCCTCAGCCTTCTGAGTAGCTGGAACTACAGGTGCACACCACCACGCTTGACTAATTTTTGTGTTTTTAGTAGAGACAGGGTTTCACCATGTTGGCCAGGCTGGTCTCAACTCCTGACCTTGTGATCCACCCGCCTGGGCCTCCTAAAGTGCTAGGATTACAGGTGTAAGCCACCACCACACTCAGCCACCAAGTAGCTCTCCTGAAGTGTGTGGAGAACTAATCTGAAGGTAGCAGGCACTCGCAAGGCGTGCACCCCGCGGTATCTCAGGCAGGGAAATGGATTCCCTCCTAACTTGCCCAATGCCTAGGGATTGAGTCAGCTGACGTTTATTCAGTGTTGCTTCTTTCTGATTTCAATTCTGGGGCTCTCTCTTCTCCACCCAATACCTGGTTAGAACGAGCCAGAGATATCCTGAAGGCAGTGGGTTTTGCGGAAAGAAAAGAAAAAAGGAAATCCGTGAAAACGCTGGTGTGTTTTGTTCACCAGAGGCTTTTACATAAATAGCATACTCTGAAGAACGCACCTCCCTGCTGGCTACTGCAGACACAGTCACGAAGTCCAGTATTTTGCTAATGTGTAAAACGCCTTTTTTGAAATGGACAGCAAAGGTTGAAACTGACTAGAGCTTGGGCTCAGGAGGCAGGAGACGTTTGTCTTGCTTCAGGGGCACCTGGGACAGGCCATGGACCGCACAGGGTTTCAGGGCTTGGCCCACTGCTCTCCGGCATGCCTTTGGGGAACCTCAAAACAGCACAGTGACCCGGCAGAGAAGTGTGGTCCAGGCCACTGGAGAAGGTGAGCACTTAGCTGGTGCCCTCTCAGAAGATCGGCCGGCTTGGCGTCCTGCTCTCGGGAGGGCAACTCTCCCAAACAGCCTGTCTCTGGGGTACCCACTGCTGGAAGGAGAGTCGGGCACAGAAGGGCAGCTGGCGCAGTCCTTTCAGCTGCTGGTGTGTTTTTCAGGGGTTTAGGGTGCCGGTTCTGGCTGACAGCTCCCACGGGCTCACAACTCCCTGCTCCCACAGGGAAACATTTGCTTTCCCAGCGCCCCGTGCCTGCCCACGGGCATTGCTGTTGATGGCTGCCTTCGTGTCCGAGGTGATGCTTGGCTCGGGATTCTGAAGTCTCAATCATGGAGGCAGAGCCCAGACTCATGTGTTAAAATGTGTTTGTATTCTTCCAGTTGACTTAACCTCCTTTGTGACCCACTTTGAATGGGACATGGCCAAATATCCTGCCAAGCAGCCGCTCGTGAGTGTGGTGGACACCATAGCCAAGGTGAGAGGAGGGGCTGCTGGGGGGGACATCTGACCGGTGAGTCAGGCGGGCAAGAGCCTGGGGTCTGAGCCTGGACAGGGTCCCCTGCCACAGCCTCAGCCAGCCCTGACTGGGTCTCTGGGTTTCTGAGGTGTGGCCTCCTTCCATGCACTGGTTAGGTTTGGAGTTTCAGGGCAGCCCTAGACAGGAAAGTGTCAGCCCTCTGACCTCCCCTTGAGGGCCCAGCACCCATTCACTTGCTGCTCTACTTTTTTTTTTTTTTTCCCAAAGTAACTGATGGTGGCCAGGTGCAGTGGCTCACGCCTATAATCCCAGCACTTTGTGAGGCTGAGGCAGGTGGATCATGAGGTCGGGAGTTCGAGACCAGCCTGTCCAATATGGTGAAACCCATCTCTACTAAAAATACAAAAATTAGCCGGGCATGGTGGCACACGCCTGTAGTCCTAGCTACTCAGGAGGCTGAGGCAGGAGAATTGCTTGAACGTGGGAGGCAGAGGTTGCAGTGAGCCGAGATTGTGCCATTGCACTCCAGCCTGGGCAACAGAGTGAGACTCTGTCTCAAAAACAAAACAACAACAAACAACAATAACCACAAATAGTTACTGCCTTGAGACCTTGCACCAGCTACTTGCTGGGAGCTTCCCTAATTAGAGGCACTTGTGACAGTGGAGAGACAGGAAGTGTCCTGAGAGTCTGCTGTCCTGCCCAGCAATGGCCTCCACACCACTTGATAAAATAAACACCCTGTGACTCAAGTCCCAGGCGATGCTGTGGGCATCTGGAGCCTGGTGACTTCTCTGTATCATCACTGAGGGTGAGGGTGACGAGGACCGTGAGACGGAGGCTGATGATTTCTGATGGCCAGGCCCTCCCTTCTGCCACAAAACACTGAGCCCCTAACATGTCCTGTCTCTAGTTGGCCTTCATAGCTATGGGAGAGTTGGCCTGGGCCAGGAACAAAGGTGCCCTGTTCTGTGACTGTGGTCAAGGGTCAGAATGGAGCTGGGCCTCTGACCGATCCTCTGGCAGCTCCCGCAGGTTTCCTGGAAAGTAGGGTGGAACCAGAAAGCTTGGGCATCTGGGTGGCACTGCTTACGTCAAAGAGGCCCAGGCCCCTCCTGGGATGATTGGGCAGTGACTGGGGAAGGCCCTTCAAGGAGGGGCTGCTCAGAGCACCTGTGCCAGGCGTGCCTTTCAGAGGGTGCTGTGCACACCCACCAAGGAACTGGAAGCACGTGGTGGCTCATGGGGCTGGCCCTTCCTTGCCCCGCCCTGTACCAGTTTGGGATTCTCTGAATCCCAGGGATACCAGACTCTGGGGAGGGCTCCCTGGAGCATATGGAGGGAGCAGAGGGGCTGTAGGGAGACCTGGCTTCTCCAGTCCAGGGCACCCCAAAAGCGCCTTTGGCAGGAAGGAAGGAGGGTAATGGTTTGGTGGCATTCCAGATGGCCAGAGACCTTTCTGGGCTCTCTTACTTTCCACCTCTTGCCTTGTGGTGGACATCGCTTTCTTCTGAATGGAGAAGAGGAAGCTGAAGGGTTGAGTAAGTGCTCCAGGGCCCACCGTGGTTGGAGCATTAGGCCGGGCTGGAGATGCAGGTCTTGGCGACCAGAGCCCGCGGGCTGTGCTGTGTGCATGGAAGCCCTGGACTGGCCCCACTGCAGGGAACCGGCTCCTGGCAGCAGCAGGGCCCGAGGCTCCAGGGTGTGGGCTCCCACAGTCCTTTCTACACCAGGAACACAGTGTGACACCCCTGCCTCAGCCTTGTTCTGCCAATGAGAGGTCTCAATCCGCCAACTAGAGACATTTAGTCAAAGGAAACTCCTATAGTATCTCACAATAATTCTGGGTCACTTTTCAGAGAGGTCTAGGAGCTTATATCAGGTTACGCAGCCAGCAAAAGTCAGAACTGGCATTTAAATGCGAGTTCTGCTGGTTCGAAAGCCCTCGTTCCTACCACTGTTCTGCTGACTCCCTAATACCGCTCAGCAAGTTTTTATTGGCTTGTGGTGAAATCAGAAAAATAAAGACAGGAAGTAGTCTTTTTGCTTTTGTTTTTCAAAAAATATATAAATCATATTTTAAAAACCAGTACCTGTGGGTTATACCTATGTCAGTTTCCTGGCTATGGCACTGCACTATGATTGTGTAATGCAGAACAGCATAGTTGTATAGGACAGTGTAGTTTAGAAATAGAGTTGTATAGTGCAGATGGTACTAATGTAGCAGTATAGTTGCATAATGCAGTATCTTTGTCTCATGCAGAATAGTGTAATATAGTCCTACGGTTGTACAATATAGTTGCATGGTACAGTTTAGTATGCAGCTGTACAGTGCAGAATAGTTGTATAGTAAGACGTCGTCACTGTGGAAAACTGCACGAAGGGTGCTTCAGATCTGTGTACACTATTTTTGTAACATCCTGTGAATCTATAGTCATTTCAAAATTAAACATTTTTAAAAATTATAAAAAGATGAATTTTATTAAAAAAATTAAACATGGCAAAATGTAAAGATAAAAGCATTTAGATGCCCAGCTGGAGTGCAGTAGCACGATCTCAGCTCACTGCAGCCTCTGCCTCCCGGGTTCAAGTGATTCTCCTGCCTCAGCCTCCTGAGTAGCTGGGATTACAGGGGTCTGCCACCATGCCCGGCTAATTTTTGTGTTTTTAGTAGAGACAGGGTTTTACCATGTTGGCCAGGCTGGTCTCAAACTTCTGACCTCAGGTGATCTGCCCACCTCAACTTCCCAAACTGCTGGGATTACAGGCATGAGCCACTGCGCCTGACCTATCATTTTAATTTAATCATTTAATCATTTTAATTATCATATTTAATCTTTCTTTATTTTATCATTAAAATTATTTTATGGTTTTATCTTTAAAATCATAAAATCATCAGAGCTGTGATCATCACCCCCATTCTCTATTCTCCCAAAAGGTAACCAGTGTTTAAAAGTTTAAAATGGATTCTCTCATGTATAAATGTGTGTATTTCGATTAAAGCTGTTGGTTGGCATTCTAGGGAGCACCCATTTTCTTCGTCTGCTGATTCTGGAGATTCTCCAACAGCAGCTGTGTGCTGGCCTGTAGCATTTGTTGCTGGCCGTGGTGTAAATGCTCCTGCTGTGGCTGGTTGCCCAAGCTGGTGGGGTGTCATGTGTGGGGCTGAGGGAGGGAATGGGAAGGAGCCTGGCACAGCTGGCTCTCAGCACAGGCATTATCCCTGCTGTGGGACAGATGGGGAACGTGAGCCAGTTGGCCAGAAAGCAGGAGAGTGCAGCTTGAGCCCAGGCCTGTCTTATTTCTGTCTACCGTACCACCCTGCCCCTACCAACCCATTCAAGGGAGATCAGCACAGTCAAGCCAGGAGACATGGGCATCTGTGAGGGCCAGGCGATGTCAGGTCCCCCAGAAGCAAGGAGGGGGGTTGGCCTGAGCTGGCCTCCAGCAGAGCCTGAGAGGGTAAGTGTGGGCATGGGATGCCTGACCATTAAGGATGGGCTTGGAATCAGGAAAGGGTGGGCTCATTGAGTCATCCTAGCAAGCCGTCACGGCTTGGCACCTGGGTGCCACACAGGGCCTCCCTGGAAGGGCCAAATGCTGGTAAACGGAAGCCATCCCGGCAAATGGGCAGGGCAGTTGTTTTTCTTGAGCGCTCCATGAGCTGTTGTGGCCATCTTGGAAAGTTCAGCCAAGTCCTTCAAGGCTCGAGGTCACCAGGAGCTTTTGCTTTCCTAAACAGCAACTGGCACAGATCGAGACGGACCTGAAGTCCCGAACGGCAGCCTATAACACTCTGAAGACGAACCTGGAGAACCTGGAGAAGAAATCCATGTGCGTATCTGCCAGCCTCCACGTCTGGCTAGGGCGGGTCCTGGCAGGGACTTGGCGCTTGCCCGTCCTGTCACCGGGCCACCTGGGAGTCTGTGCCCGTGTATGACAGTGAGACAGACAGGTGGAGGTACCCTCACCTCTGCAAGAGCTGCGTGCTAGGAGAGGAGGAATGTGCCAGGCGAGGGCGATCTCACCCCGCGTATGTGCCTGGGGAAGAGGATGGGGCGATGCTGCTCGCCACCTGCATGCTTCCCTCTCCTGGCTCCTCCAGGGTGCCTGGGATGCTGCCCCCAGTCCTCCCCTGTGGAGGCTGCACAGAGGGCCCACTGGGGGTGACAGGACGCTGGGATGTCACAGAACAGCCCATTGCAAAAGGCAGGTGGTTATAGGGCTCTGTGGCCCAGAGCAGAGCAGCCTCAGGGACTCAGGTGCCTTCTCCACCTACCTGAAGGGCCACCGTGTGGGAGAGGGAGTGGGCTCAGCAGACAGAACAGCCACCAGGATGGTGGCAGTGCCAGAGAAAAGTATAAGCTCAGCGACATGGTGGCAGGGACTGTTGGGAGGTAGTGAGTGTCCTGTTGTTGGTGTGTAAGAGAAGCCAGGTAGCTAGGCGCAGCAGCTCTGGCCTGTAATCTCAGCAGTTTGGGAGGCTGAGGTGGGCGGATCACCTGAACTCAAGAGTTTGAGACCAGCCTGGCCAAAATGGTGAAGCCCCGTCTCTACTAAAAATACAAAAAGTAACTGGGTATGGTGAAGGGCACCTGTAATACCAGCTATTGGGGAGGCTGAGGCATGAGAATCACTGGAACCCAGGAGACAGAGGTTGCAGTGAGCCAAGATCATCACTGCACTCCAGCCTGGGCAACAGAGAGACCTCGTCTCAAAAAAAAAAAAAAAAAAAAAAAAACACACAAACACACGCACACGCACACAGACTGGGTGAGCTCCTGCTGGGGAGGCTGCTCCTGAACAGGGTGGGGGTGTCATGGAGGAGCAGCCCAGTCCCCCAGACTTTGGATCTGATGCTGTTGGCGGTTCTCTGAGGACCCTGGTCAATTGCAGAGTTTTTAATTTGATGCCTACACTTGGACCCTAACTCCAGAGGAGGGAAGTGGACAGGGAGCCCAAACCAGCTGCCCTCCCTCTGACTGGCTCACCACTGTAAGCAAAGAGAATTCACCTGGGAGGTACCCCACTTCCACATTCTGCTTCTGAGGGTCACTAGGCCAGCTGTCTTCTTGTGAAAAAAGCAAATGGTACATAAATGGAAGGAAAGTTAGAAACCACAGATGAAGGACTCACTTCAATAGAAACCCTTGCTGTTGGATGCCTGGCTTCATGTCACAAGTAAGTGGGCATGAGCTACAGAGGATGGGACAGAGACTGGGCGCCAGGGCAGAGAGCCCTAAATGGGGATGGGTCATACGTCCGTCCTGGCTTGGAGCCCGCAGGCCACGGGGTCATCACCCCATGGTGGGTTGTTTGGGACTTGAGCAGACATCTGGTCCAGCCTCTTCACTCAGCTGGTGAGGTTCCTTCATCCATTGATCATTCATTGATTCACCGTGAGTTTGATTGACTGAGCGCACATGCCAAGTATAGGAGGGCGGCGCGCGAAGAGGGATGAAAGTCTCTAACTCCTTCCTCTGCGCGCTCTTTTCTTCTTTGGTTGTACATGTACCAAGTATGCACCGTGCCCTCAGGCCTGATGCTAGACCCTAAAGATACAATTTAGAATACAATACAATTTCTGGACTTGCAGGGCTCACTGTTACTCATTCAACAAACACACATGGAAAGTCGGCTTTGTGTTCCAGGTTCAGAGGTCAGCCAGGGAGAGAGGTGGGACAGTGTGAGGGTAGCGTGTTCAGTGCTAGCACAAGAAGGCTCATACGCATGGTGCCCAGGGAGAAGGAACCTCCAGGCTTTATCCATGGCCACGAGCTGTTCAGTGATGTTCAGGCAGGGGACAGCAAAGAAGGCACGTGGGCTCCCTGAGGAGGGTGTTTACCATTGCCTTTAAAGCTTTGGCAATGGCTCAACGCTGGAGAGCGATTTCCAGAGAAGCACTGTGGCCACATCATGGCCCCGTGTGGATGCGCCATGCGGCCTGGGTAGCTTGATCTTGGCCCATTTGCTGATCCGACAGCTTTGATCCATGTACTAATAATACCATGCCCTCCACTCAGCCCGGGTCCACTGGGTATGTAGGAAGCTATTTCAGGTGAGTGTCCCCGGGCTGCTGGCCTGGGAGGCCTGTAAAGTGACACGGAGCTCTATCGAGATGGCTCACGCAGCTCTGAGAGCTGCCCATTGTGTCGACACTTGAGGAGCTTTAGCTGCCTGCCACCCGAGGCCCCCCTCCCGTAGCAGCTGTGGCTGGCATCGGGGCAGTGCAGGTCACTGAGGTGTTGGATTCAGCAGCCTCTGGGCGATGGGTGATAGCACCTGATGCCCTGCCAGCCTCCCTGTCCCTAGAGGGGAGGAGGCAGCAGCTGTGGCCCCAGCATAGAGTCTGGGGCACTGGGCCCTGGGGTTGCGGGGAACAATCATTTCTGAGAATTGCTGTGTTCTCCTAGGCCCCAGCATCCCCAGCGCCCACCGCGCCTGAGAACTGCCTCTGGCCCCAGCACCTGGGCGTGGGTGTGTATGGGGTCACCATGTCCCTTTCTGCTCACACCTTTCACGCCCTTTGTTCCACCTGCCTTTTAGGGGGAACCTCTTCACCCGGACGCTGAGCGATATTGTGAGCAAAGAGGACTTTGTGCTGGGTTCTGAATATCTCATCACGCTTCTGGTCATTGTCCCCAAGTGAGTGCTGCTGGGAGAATGGGTGTCTCGGCCTGTGCTGGCCATCACGGAAGGCGGCTAACTGCCCCGCCCAGTGGAGAGGAAGGTGGCCCGCTGGTGACTTGGGCGGCGTGGAGGAGGATGCTCCCTGCCCAGCCCCAGGTCCCGGGAAGCAGTCACTCCTGCATGGGGCCTTGCTCACGGCTGTGTCAGCAGGGACAGTGGTTGGGTGATGGTGGTTGTGGCCATGACAGGGAAGCAGCCATTTACTGAGTGCGTGCTATATACCCAATTCATGGTAGACATCATTTGATTTCATCCTCACCAAAGGCCTGGGAAGTCTGGTGATTCCCATTGTCCTGAGGCTGGAGAGGTCGCTTAGCTTGTCCAAGGTCACACGGAGCCCAGATTAGATGGTTATTAGTGAGCACCAACTGTAACCATAGCTCTTCACAAAGGGACTTCTGTGGGTACCCTGGGGAGGCTGGGCAGGGATTCCTCATGGGCACAGCAGGGCTTCCGGAGGTTAGGGCTCCCTCTGACCCCAGTCCTGCTCACCTTCAGGGCCTCAGGAAAAGGGGTGTGCAGCTTCCTGAGCACTTGAGACACCCAAGAGCCTTTTCAGCAAAAAATCACAGAACCGTTCTGTGTTCTTGCAGACCAAACTACTCACAATGGCAAAAAACCTACGAATCTCTCTCGGACATGGTGGTCCCTCGATCAACCAAGTAAGTGAGACCACAGCTTGGCCCCAGGTCCCCTGGGGGGCATGTGGGTGCTTCAGAGCAGCCAACCACCAAACATGCCCTGAGGGTACGACACCCCAAGCCCTCCACACCTGGGCCCTCTCCTGTCCCTTGGCCTGGAATTCTGTCAGGGTCACACACATTGTCACATGCTGGAGTCCTTCCTCTTCCAAAACTCCACTTCCCTGCCTCTGCCCTGGGAAGGCTGCTCTGGCACTGCCTGGCCTAGCGTCCTCTCTGTGCTGTTGCTCTCTGCTGCATTCTGGCTGCATCTCGGCTCAGCCTCATTTCTTCCCTGGTGGAGGGGGAAGGAAGCCCTGGCCTGAGTGGCTGCCCAGTAAACAGCCACAGTGGGAGGTGGGAGGGAAAGCAGACTCAGCATGTGTCCTGCAGTGGCCAGAGCAGGAGTGGCCAGTGGGCCCTGTGAGAGTGACAGGAGGAGAGCAGGTTACAAACTGTGTCCATCATGGGACACTGCCCGGCGAGGAAGCAAGGGTGTGGGCTCTGTGCCTCAGCGGGGAGGAAGGGGAGAGACAGCTGCAGAGGAGCAGAGGGGCGGAAATGGACACCACTCAGCATGCACGGTGTGAAGGGAACTGCAGGGATGGGCCATGGGGAGGAAGGCCACGCTCAGGATGGTGGTGGCTCAGGGTGGAGTGAGTGGGACAGGGTGACGTGAGCTTTCACCTCCTGGAACTTTGGTTTTTGGGTAGCTGATCCAAAGGTCCGTGTTTTCCTTTTTTTTGAGATGGAGTCCTGCTCTGTTGCCCAGGGCGGAGTGCAGTGGTGTGATCTCAGCTTACTGCAGCCTCCACCTCCCGGGTTTATTTTTATTTATTTATTTATTTTGTTTCCATTATCAAATCAGTGGCATGGCAGCCTCCTGGGTTTAAGCAATTCTCCTACCTCAGCCTCCCGAGTAGCTGGGATTACAGGCATGCACCACCATGGTCGGCTAATTTTTGTATTTTGGTAGAGATGGGGTTTTACCATGTTGGCCAGGCTGGTCTCAAACTCCTGACCTCAGGTGATCCGCCTGCCTCAGCCTCCCAAAGTGCTGGGATTACAGGTGTGAGCCACCGCACCCAGCCTGGTGCTTGTTTTCCTCTAATCCTTTTTGTATGGCTGAGATGGTTTGTAATTTGAAGAGATTTTAGAACATGCGTCAGGCAGCCAGCCTGTTCATCCGACTCCCCCCGCACACAACTCCTGCTGTAAGGTCTCTGCCCTGGGGCCCCTGCTGGGGAGGGCTCTCCCAGGGCTATGCGATGGCAATCAGGATCTAAATTGAAGGGTGCAAGGAACAGGACAGTCACAGCCCGAGGTCACAGGGGAGGCAGGGAAGAAGAGCAAGACTCCAGAGCAGAGGAGCCGGCCCTGGAAGCTGGCAGAAGCAGTCATTGCTCTTAAATGCCAAGTACTGGGATCCTTGCCAGGACCGGCTGCCTTGGTACATGGCCTGGCCTCCCAGACCAGAGCCTCAGGCCCTTCGTTGTCACAGGGCACCTGAGAGCCTGCATAGATAACTCTGGAAATACCTGGAGCCTGGGGGCAGCCCCTATGGATGCGGTCTGGAAGCATGACCCCATGAGACCCTGCCTGGGCCTGAGGGCTCCCACTTCCAGTCTTCTGGCCAACAGAACTCAAGAGAGCTTAGACCTCTGGCCCCAAGCATTCCCAAGCTGCTAGAGGCAGTGGCCCCAGTGGTCCTATGTTGAGATGTGCTTGGGAAGCTATGTCCCATTAGGACTTGGTGACATTGGAAGTGAAATGGACCTTGTAAGATGGTTTCCACCACCCTGCTTCACTATAACCACAGCACATCAGAGCCAGGGACACCCCGTGCCAGCTGCAGTGACAGAGCCCCAGGAGGGCTTGGTTGCTCAGGCATTTGATGAGTGGGAGCTGAAGCCCAGGCCTCTGCTTTCCCTGGACCCAAGGCCTCCTGAGGCCTTAGCCTGGAGGAGTGTGGAAGGGACAGGAGGGAAGGGCAGCCAGCCAGGGGTTAGGAAATCACAGGGCATGCCCTGGGTTCCCCAGCCGTCAGCTGCTGCCAGGGGCCCCAAATACACAGGCCACCAGGCCCGGGGGCCCCTGAGCCCCACTCCCACACAGGGCCAGGCAGAGTCCAGCCAGCAGATGCTTCTCTCCAACAGACTCATTACTGAGGACAAGGAGGGCGGCCTTTTCACTGTGACTCTGTTTCGAAAAGTGATTGAAGATTTCAAAAGCAAAGCCAGAGAAAACAAGTAAGGGCTCTCCAGGTTTGCTCCATCTCCCACCGCGGGGGCCGGGGTTTCTTTGCCCCTCTGGAAAGCGTCTGAGTGAAAGCCCATGGTTTGCTTGCTTTAAGGTTCACTGTTCGTGAATTTTACTATGATGAGAAAGAAATTAAAAGGGAAAGGGAGGAGATGGCCCGATTGCTGTCTGATAAGAAGCAACAGTATGTGAGTATGTGATTGAGCAGCGCCTCCCCCACCAGTGGCCTGGGGATAGAAGAGTCCTCCCAAGTCCCCAGCTCTCCCTCTCACTGTCCCCAGTCCCTTTGGCTCACACTGTGGGGACCCACCATCTGTTCTCATGGGACACCTGAGGGGGGCCTGGAGGGGAGGGGCAGTGCTAGCACAAAGGAGCCCAGGCGGTGGAGCTGGGGTGGGAGCTGGGGTCCACCTGAGCCGCATGTTCCGCATATGTTCTCACCGTCCCGAGCACTGCCCTGCCAGGAAAGGGTTGCTGCCTCCATAGTATGGATGAGAAACTGAGGATCTGAGAGGCAACTGGCTAGAGGACCCTGCCCAGCCTTCCTGGGACTGAGCAAGGCACGGAGGCTCCAAGCCGGTGCATCCGTGCGCAGGGTGGGCAGCCCTGGGCCTTGGAGATTGCAGCGTGAGGTTTCCAGGGCGCCGCTGGCCCCTGTATTTACTTCCCGTGTTCTTAGCACGTTGTGGGTGCTTATCTGGAGACTTCCGACCACAGCCACTGAAAAACCCTTCATGTAGGAGGACAGCTTAGGTCTTCCAGGGAGCAAAACCAGATGCTTGATTTGAAATGTGAGCAGGAGAGCCTTGGGAGGGTCACTCCACGGCCCTGTGAAGAGGGCGCCTTCCACGCTCAGGTCCTCCTGCTGCCGTGCTGGGCTAAGCCAGGCAACTTGGAAGGAGCCTGTCTGGGTGGGATGTTTTCAGGCCCTTTCTTTCCCACGCCCACAAGGGAGGGTTCCGTGGAGCACCTTCCAAGCCAGCCTCCAGAGACGGGGCGGGAGGAATGACTAGAACGTCCTTGAGGCCTTTGGGGGAAAGTTGCTTGAGCACAGCGCTGTGAGGACCTCCGTGGGAAGGAGCACTGGCTGCGGCAGGCTGGGAGTGCTCCCGATGCCTGCGTCACCAAATGTGGGCTCCGGGCTCCTGGGGACTTGGCCTGTCAGCGACCTTCTCGCGCAGGGACTGCAGATAAGCAGCCACCCCTTATGAGCGAGCCCAGCCATGGAGCCCCCACAGTGGGGTTCTTGGACCCCCCTTAGGAAGGAGACAACAGCTGATAATATAAAAGTTCATATAGGGGTTTTTCACCCCTGCCCTAGAAACAGAAGCACAGGATGCTCACACTTGTGTGTGCGTGCGTGTGTATGTGTGCATGCGTGTCTGTGCACATGCATGTGTGTGGACATGTGTGTGCATAGCAAGTGAGACACGCCTCAGAACCAGAGGCTGCTGGGCTGTGGCTGAGCCTGTGGGAAGGAGGTCCCTTCTTGAGGATGAGGGGTCACGCTGGAGCTGGGGACCTTTGGGTGCTCCTGTTCTCAGGGCCCACAGACCCAGATACCAGGCAGGAGAGATTTTCCCCAATGAAAGCTGAGCTCCACAGTGTTTTCTTCCTTAGTCTCAGCTCATCTGAAACCCTCATTACCTGGGTGTGCCCGGGCCGTTCTCTCTAGCTGGGCTTTTTCCCAGCTCACTTCAGACCTGGCCCCGCCCCCCTGCACAGTCTATCTGGACGGGGCTAGACCATGGCAACCTCCACAATGGGAGGCCCTGCTGGGTGGGGGACAGGTGGTGAAGTAGGGCGTTTGGCACCCACCTGGGCACTGGCCCAGGCCTGGCAGCCCCCTGGGGAACAGGGTGACACACAGCCTGCCACCTGCCATGTGGGGCTCAGGTTGCCAGCTGGCGTTATTTTCCATGGCGTAGCCTTCACCCACACTGCCCTGGGGGCCCTGCCAGGGTCTTTCTGTGGGTGGGAGGTGGAGGCACTCTCAGCTTGGGTCAGCCCCCCTCTGGCCTATCTGGAAGTTCATGACCAAGAGTCTTGCATCCTTTTTGCCACTTGTCAACCAGAGGGACAGTCCAGGCCCTGGGTTTGAGTGTGCTTTGAGAGCAGAGTGGGATTTCCCATTGTTTCCCAGCTGTTTGCAGAGACAGAATGGGAATGGGTGAGCGTCTTAACTGCACGCCCGACTCATCTCTTGCATTCTGTGCACCAAGGTGCCCCCCCAAAATGCCAGCAGGGCATCTGTGGTTGGGTATGGTGGAGACTCCTTGACAGAGGGCAGACAGCGTTTCCACTGATGCCTCCTGGCCCCATCCTGGTCAGCCGGCGATGGGGGTCCTGACCGAGCCCAAGCACAGGGACCGACCCCTCTGCCAGAGATTGGCTCTGTGCTTGGAATCCGAAACTCAAAGACGTTAACGCTGCCCTTCCCTCTGCCTTTGCCACTCTGGGAGCCCGGTGGGCACCTGCCACATCTCTAGTCCAGCCAGGAGTGAGTCCCGAGGGTGGGCCTGAATTCCTGAGCTTGCTCTCGCGTGCCTTTCAGGTGATGAGAATGATTTATTTGTTTGTGATGCATGTTTTGCTGAAAGATTAATAAATGATTTCTGTGCCTTTAGCAAACTTCCTGTGTTGCTCTTAAAAAGGGATCATCTACCTTCCCGGACCACAAGGTTAAGGTAACCCCGCTAGGTAACCCCGATAGGCCCGCTGCGGGGCAGAGCGACAGAGAGAGAGAGAGTGAGGGCGAGGGTGAGGTAAGCAACGCCCCGGGAAGCCGGGGGTCCCTGGCTCGCGCCTCCTCGCCAGCTCAGGCACCTTCTGAGAAAATGAATCTTTGCATTTTCTGTTCTCTCACATGGCTTTTGAGGTCTTAAATTTGAGGAGCCCAGAATCATGCCTTCCTCCTAATCTGCAGGGCCTCTTTGGAGCTGCCTCTGCCAGCAGTGAAGGGTGCTTGTCTGCCAGGGTGCCTCTCCCTGGGCCCCTGGCTGGAGGTGGCTGGAGCTGGGACGGGCAGGACCTGGTGGTGGTGGACAGCTCAGCTCTCCTCCCTCGGCTGCCCTGGCTGGACCCACCCCTGACCTTTGTGGGCAGTTGCAGTGTCAGGCAGGAGCTCAGAGCTCTTGCTCCTAGACTCTGAGCTCCCGGGAGGACCTGCCACATCAGCATCAGTGGCCGCTGATGTAGCCACGTGATGTGGGGCTGTGAGGTGCCCCTGGAGGCAGCTGCTGTGGATGGTCCCAGGAGCCTGGGGGCAGAGTCTTCAGGAATGCGGGCTCCCTGGCTGCGCAGTGTCAGGCGGAAGCCCCTGGCTGCATGCTGAACGTCCCAAGGTCAGGGGCTGCCCGGCTTCCTGTGCTGTGGTCTGTGGTGGCCCCGTGCATGCGCCGGTGGCTGGCTCGTTGAGCTTCCCCGGCCCCAGGCTCCCTGGACCTCAAGGTCCTGAGCCTGACCCAGGGCTGGTCCGCCCGACTCTCTGCTTCTGCCTGCTCCTGGGCACTTCTTCTCGGCCCAGGGGGCACTCTGTTAAAACCCAAGTTCTTTGTTGACTGCGTTGGGCGGGGCGGCCAGGAGGGCTCACCTGTCTCTTCCGTCTCTGCAGGGCCCCCTGCTGCGCTGGCTCAAGGTGAACTTCAGCGAAGCCTTCATTGCCTGGATCCACATCAAGGCCCTGAGAGTGTTTGTGGAGTCTGTGCTCAGGTGCGTGGCAGCAATGCCCTGGAAGGGGCTGTCCCGAGGGTGGGCAGGGCCTGGGGGAGCTATTGGTGCACCCCAGCTCCTGCCTTCTCTCCACCTTCCCACCCTCTTCTTTCTGTGCCTGTGGCTTTTGGCAGCATGCTAAATTCCGAGTCAAATACACCCTCCCCTCAGCCCTGCGTCCCCTGCTGTCTGGTCCCTCCATTGCTGCCACACTGGGGGCAAGTGTCATCCGGGTTCTCCCTGGCCGCCCCACTGGCATAACCTTGTGGCCCCTCTGGCTGGCTTCTGTCCCCACCCTCGTGAAGCCTGCAGGGGCCCAGTGGCTCCCGGAAGGGGTTTTTGGGCTGCCTCTGTCCTCAGCCTGGAAAGCCCACCCGTCAAGGCAGCCCAGAAAGAAAACCAAACCAACAACAGCAAAGCTAATGTTGCCTAATATATGGAGACAGTTTCGCTTTTGATGCCCAGGCTAGAGTGCAATGCACGATCTCAGCTCACTGCAACCTCTGCCTTTCAGGTGCAAGTGATTCTCCTGCCTCAGCCTCCCAAGTAGATGTGATTACAGGCATGTGCCACCACACCCGGCTAATTTTGTATTTTTAGTAGAGACAGGGTTTCTCCATGTTGGTCAGGCTGGTCTTGAACTCCTGACCTCAGGTGATCCACCCGCCTCGGCCTCCCAAAGTGCTGGGATTACAGGCATGAGCCACCATGCCTGGCCTATTTTTTTTTTTTTTTAAATATTAGGCAGGCCGGGCACAGTGACTCACCCCTATAATCCCAGCACTTTGGGAGGCCAAGGTCAGGAGTTCAAGACCAGCCTGGCCAGCATGGTGAAACCTTGTCTCTATTAAAAGTACAAAAATTAGCTGGTGTGGTGGTACAGGCCTGTAGTACCGGCTACTTGGGAGGCTGAGGTGGGAGGATCACTTGAGCTTAGGAGGCAGAGTTTGCAGTAAGCCAAGATCGCACCACTGCACTCTAGCCTAGGCAACAAGAGTGAAACTCCGGCTCAAAAAACAAAAAAAAATTGCTTCACTGTGGGAAATCTGGCAACTCTAGGTAAGCAAAGTGAATAAAAACTCCTGTAATCTTACCACCAGGAGAGAACACTGCCAAAGTCCAAGTCGGTGTCCCTCTAGGTGTAGGGTTTGTTGGTTTTTTTATGTATAGATGCACATAATTCTTACAGATTTTTATGAAAGTGGGATCAGCCAGGAAATGCCTTTGCAGCCCGCTTTGCTGCCCTGCGCGGCTGCCTCCCATGTTACTGAGGGTTGTGCATTGCCTGCTGCTCTGACCTGTAGCCTCCTGGGCTCCTCCGGCCCCAGGACCCTTTGTCTGACCTCCCGGACCCCTTCCTCGCCTGCACTGAAGAGCTCCTCACCCTTCCTTGCTGTCCCCCTGGCTAATGTCCCCTACTCTCCCTCGTTTTCCTGCCCATGTTTCCTGGTCTCCAGGACCTGCCATAGGCCTTACCTGGGTATCTGTCTCATCTCACCTCCCGCACGCCTTCCTCTGCTTCCCTGTTTCTGCCAGTGGCCTCCTCATCTTTCCCCTCATCAGACCCCAAACTTCAGGGTCAGTTTGGAGTTCCCTGCCGCTGCACCCAAAAGGCCTGGTCCACTCCTGCCTCTGCACTCTTCCACTGGTCCGGCCCCACAAGCCTGGCTGTTGCCATAAGCCTCCTCTTTGTTCTTGGCATGGGGCAGGGCATTAAGGAGAATGGGGGGGACCAGTAGCCACTCCTAGGGTCTTATTTTTTTGAGAAGGACTCTTGCTCTGTCCTCCAGGCTGGAATGCAGTGGCATAATCTTGGCTCACTGCAACCTCTGCCTCCCAGGTTCAAGCAATTCTTCTGCCTCAGCCTCCCCTAGTAGCTGGGATTACAGGCGTGCACCACCACACCTGGCTAATTTTTGCATTTTTAGTAGCAACAGTGTTTCACCATGGTGGCCAGGCTGGTCTCAAACTCCTAACCTCAGGTGATCCAGCCTGCCTTGGCCCCACAAAGTGCTGGGATAACAGGGATGAGCCACCGTGCTTGGCATGGGGCTCTGTTCTGGGCAGAATGGAGAAGGCGTTATTAGCAGCAAGGGTGCCAGAGATGGGACAGGGCTGAGAAGGGTCGGAAGAGCCCAGAGGCTGAGGAAGGTCAGGGGTTAGAGAGCATGTCTGTTAGGGACCTAGGAGCACAACAGAGGCAGGCCTCTCCCTCAAGCCAGGCTGCTGAGGGAGGAGCGCTTTAAGCTTTAAGGACTAAGGACAGGTCCTCCTTCTGGGTGACAGATAACCTCCAGGGCAACTTGGTAATGACACTGGTGGGACCACGAGGTGCAAGACAACAAAGCAGGGCAGGAAAGGGGAGCATCTGCAACCAGGCAGCAGAGTGAGGCCTAGAACCCCATCTCAGCATGCCTGGGGCTTGGGGCCTGGGACTGGCTACCATCTGCCATCTGGGAAAGCATTCTGGTCATCTCCCAGGGAAGGTGGAACTATTTGGTGATGCCAAGGGTGTCGTGCTTGTTTACAGAATTGGGAGTTGGGTCAGGGAGTGCAGGAGGGAAGGCGACAGGGTAAGGGGCTCTCCACGAAGTGCTGTAGCCTCTCTGCTCAGTTCCCCTGGGCAACACCAGAGCTCTGAGGACCAGAGACACACAAAAGAAATCAGGGTGGTCATCTGGACCATTCCCCTTGCTTGTTATCTACCCAGGTGCCACAGTCCTCCCTGGTAACACCTCCAGCCTCTGTGGCACTTGGCTCTTGGGAGGTAAAGACGGTACCACCAGGTCAGTCTTATGCCTGGTGGGTGAGAGTGGATGTGTCTGTGCTTCCCAGCAGCCTCTTCATGCATTCAGGCTTCCCTCACCTTTCTGCAGGCCCAACAGGAAAGCCTAGTATTTCAGAACTCATGTTACCAAATGAGGAACAGGAAGATTGGGAACCAGGAGATAATTTACAGACACTGAAAATAAAAGCTTATGACTGGGTACGGTGGTTCACGCCTGTAATCCCAGCACTTCGGGTGGCAGAGAAGGGTGGATCACTTAAGATCAGGAGTTTGAGATCAGCCTGACCAACATGGCGAAACCCCACCTCTAATAAAAACACAAAAATTAGCCGGGTGTGGTGGTGGCAGATGCTGTAATCCCAGCTGCTCGGGAGGCTGAGGCAGAATTGGTTGAACCCCAGAAGCAAAGGCGCAAAGGCTGCAGTGAGCGAGATCATGTCATTGCACTAGGTATTTTGCTCAAGGTTGACTTTACGAAGCTGTGTTGGTTGAAGCTTTTCAGCCTTGGAATGTACTCCGTCTCTCGTCAGGTTCCTTCTATGTGCGTTTGCGTTTGTAGTAGTAACTGACACATTTTATCTGGAAAGGTATGGACTACCAGTGAACTTCCAGGCAGTGCTCCTGCAGCCGCATAAGAAGTCATCCGCCAAACGTTTACGAGAGGTTCTAAACTCTGTCTTCCGACACCTGGATGAAGTAGCCGCTACAAGTATACTGGATGTAGGTATCTAGAAAAAGTAGCCTTTTTTTTTTGAGACAGAGTTTCGATTTTGTGGCCCAGGCTGGAGTACAGTGGCGTGATCTTGGTTCAATGCAACCTCTGCCTCCTGGGTTCAAGTGATTCTCCTGCCTCAGCCTCCCAAGTAGCTAGGATTACAGGCATGCACCATCATGCCCGGCTAAGTTTTTGTATTTTTAGGAGAGACAGGTTTCACCATATTGGTTAGGCTGGTCTCGACCTCCTGATCTCGTGATCTGCCTGCCTTGGCCTCCCAAAGTGCTGGGATTACAGGCGTGAGCCACCGTGCCTGGCCTGAAACAGCATTTCTATATTAAGGTCAGTGTCTTACTGTAGAAAGGGAGATACTTTCAAAAAACTGGTATCTGGCCAGGCGTGGTGGCTCATGCTTCTAATTCCAGCATTTTGGGAGGCCAAGGTGGGTGGATCACCTGAGGTCGGGAGTTCAAGACCAGCCTGACCAACATGGAGAAACCATCTCTACTAAAAATACAAAATTAGCCGGGCGTGGTAGCACATGCCTGTAATCCCAGCTCCTCGGAAGGCCGAGGCAGCCCCACTGCACTCTAGCCTGGGTAACGAGTGAAACTTTGTCTCAAGCCCCCACCCCATGCCTGCAAAAAAACTGGCATCTGCCCATAGTCCCAGCACTTTGGAAGGCAGGAGGATCACTTGAGGTCAAGGGTTTGAGACCAGCCTAGCCAACATGGTGAGAGCCTATCTCTACTAAAAAAAAATTAGTAGTGTCACATGCCTGTAATCCACACTACTTGGAGTCTGAGGCAGGAAAATTGCTTGAAGCCGGGAGATGTAGGTTACAGTGAGCTGAGATCATGCCACTGCATTCCAACCTGGGTGACAGAGACTCTGTCTCAAGAGAAAAAAAAGGTATTTGCCAGCCTGTTACGAAAATCTACATGTCATACACCCCTTGCACAGCAAGGGCTGGGCTGAAGGGGGTGGGCCACAGCTATGCAGAGCAGAATACAGCCAGTGCCTGGAGAACTTCCTCAAAAATAAAAGGATAAGACAGGAAACTAGTTTATATACTTATAACATTACCATGTCTTCTTTTCTAGGCATCTGTGGAGATCCCGGGACTGCAACTCAGTAATCAAGACTATTTTCCTTATGTCTACTTCCATATCGACCTGAGTCTTCTGGACTAGAAAAGCCAGCTGGCACCTCTGTCTCATGTTCGTGCAGACTGTTACAGCCACCTCTTTCCTTTAGCCAGAGAATGCCTCAAATGTCTTACAGAACTAAGATTTTTTTCAGAGAAATTGCTCACAAAAGTTAGTGACAGTTGTATTTATTTTTTTTAAGTTACAATAAAATGCTCTCAAGTCCTTTGAATGTTCTAACAAATTCAAAATTTCATTTTTCTGAATGTTTTACATAAAAGAACTACTTATAAATTGGTA